CGCGCCACCACACCTGGCTAATTTTTTGATTTATTGTAGAGATGAGGTCTCGCCAAGCTGCCCAGGCGGGTCTTGAACTCGCAGGTTCAGGCAGTCCACTCACCTCAGCCTCCCAAAGGCGTGGGATTACACCGAGCCTGGCAAGTCCATGTTCTTATATTTCCATGCTACTAATGGACATATAGCGTGCTAGGCAGGTGATTTGTAGGGTTATAAGATGATCCCATTATTGAGTAGAAACCCACATGTGGCTTAAGTGTCTGAGATTAAGTCATTGCCGTGGTCACAGCTGATTATTTGATCCTATCCTTCCTATTTCTAGTCTGTTCTTTTCCCATTATTACAGTAGGAAACTGCCTCAGTCCTCATACCCATCTGAGGTTTCTGGAAAGTGTTCATACATCATGTTCTTTGAAGAACAGGCTTTCATTTGTGCAATTGCTACCTGTAGGGTCTTGCAGGCCACAAGGATCTTTCACACAGGGCAGCCCAGTCTTGCCCCACTGCCACCTCTTCCTGAATATGGAGGAAAAGTTCGTCTCGGGCTGATTCCTGAGGAATTCTTCCAGTTTCTTTATCCTAAAACTGGTATAACAGGTGAGCATTTGCATAGACTTTGATAGTGTGTTGGGATGGTACCGATACAATCAAATTAACTTAAAAGTAAATTGTTGAGGTGATTCAATGTAACAGTTGATTTGGTTGCTCCAGCTTGTCTTGGTTTACATTTGGGATTTCAGCTTCACAGCATTGTCTTTATTTGTTGATATGCCACATTTTTGTAATGGCTGTTCTGTGCCAGACACTGTTCTTGCCATACAGGGTTGAACTATGTTATAGAAAGTAAATTAGAGAAAGAGAGAGGAGATTCACCTCCCCAAGGTAGGGGAGAGGGCCAAAGCTAGAAAACACGGCGGCCATAGCTCAAAAGAGTCACATGGCCAACCGCAGTTGAGCGAAGCAATGACCTAAAGTCAGTTTTGTTATTCAAAAGAACTGGAAAACAATTTGCTAAAATTATATTACCTCTTTAGTGGCTACACTAGACATTAACCCAGATCCCTTGATTAAGTTTAGGATTCTTTCTGCTGCATATACTGCCTTTCTGTACACAGGTACTACTATGACTGGAACATTAGAAACAGGATTTCTTTTAACCCTGTAGTTGCCTAGACAAAATTGCAAGAAGCCTTTGTGTCCTTAGAACTTCGTAGGTAATAAATATACTACATTGATAGGTTCTTGCAATTTCACATTTAAAATTTGTATATTAAAGACAAAAAGAAAAAACTATTGAAGCTTTACGTGGGAAACTGGACAATATATTTGAGACTCTCACCCTGTTACTCTCATGATACATTCTATCATCTTTTGGTGATTCTCAGAAATACTGTAAAATGCTGCCCTAAAACCCTGCTCTGTCCCTGCCTATTATCTTGAGAGGCACAGAGGAAAATCCTAAAGAAAGATAAATCCTGGTTTGTATCCTTCCAGAACTCATAGCCTGCTCAAAGAAAAAGATAAGCCGGGCATGGTGGCTCATGCCTGTAATCCCAGCACTTTGGGAGGTGGAGATGAGAAGATTGCCTGAGCCCAGGGGTTTGAGACCATCCTGAGCAATGTGGAGAGACCTCATCTCTACAATAAATAAAAAAATTAACTGGACATGGCGGTGTGCGCCTGTAGTTCTAGCTACTTAGAAGGCTGAGGTGGAAGGATCACCTGAGCCCAGCACAACTCACCACACACAGCCTTGACCTCCTGGGCTCAGGCAATTCTGTTTCCTCAGCCTCCTGAGTAGCTGGAACTACGGGCATACACCACCATGCTTGGCTAATTTTTTTATATTTTATTTGTTTTGGATTTTTAAATTTTTTTTGCAGAGGCGAAAGTCTTGCTATGTTGCCTAGGCTGGTCTTGAACTCTCGAACTCCTGATCTCAAGTAGTCCTCCCGCCTTGGCCTCCCAAAGTGCTAGGATTACAGGCGAGAGCCGCCTTGCCCAACCCAAGAATGGATAGATTTAATCCTGTTTAATGTTTCATTCAGCAAGTAACATATTTTACTTCAGAAAGTAACCTCACATCTTCTTTTTTTTTTTTGAGTTGGAGTCTCACTCTGTCACCCAGACTGGAGTGCAATGGCCGCTCCCGGCCACCACAGCCTCGACCTGCTGGGCTCCGGCGATCCTTCCGCCTCAGCCTTCCAAGTAGCTGGAACTACAGGCGCGCGCTACCACACCCGGCTAAATTTTTTTGATTTATTGTAGAGATGAGGTCTTGCCAACTTGCCCAGGCGGGTCTCGAACCCACGGGCTCAGGCAGTCCACTCACCTCGGCCTCCCAAAGTGCTGAGATTACAGACTGAGCCACCGAGCCCGGCCATAACCTCACATCTTTATGGAATAGTTCCTACTTGTTAAGTTCTGTGCTAGTCACTTTATATACATTATTTCTCAATTTTATCAAACTGTTTTCTTTTTTTTTTGAGTAGGAGTCTCACTTTGTCACCCAGGCTGGAGGACAGTGGCGGCACACTCCCGTCCACTGCAGCCTCCGCCTGCTGGGCTCAGACGATCCTCCTGCCTCAACCTTCCAAGTAGCTGGAACTACAGGCATGTGTTACCACACCCAGCTATTTTTTTTTTACTTATTGTAGAGATCAGGTCTCGCCAAGTTGCCCAGTCTGGTCTCGAACCCATGGGCTCAGGCAGTCCTCTAACCTCAGCCTCCCAAAGTGCTGGGGTTACAGGTGTGAGCCACCACACCTGGCCTATCCAACTGTTTTCATTTTACAATTAAGAAACCAAGTTTAGAGATTATTTAGATTTTTCAGCTTCTTATAAGTTATAGAGTCAGGATAGAGGTTTCCCTGACTCCAGATCTTTGTTCTTTCACCTCTGTCGTACTGCTTCACAATCCAATTTTTTGTCTTTGAATCTGTTGATTTTAAATCATTACTTAAATTTGCCTTTAATCAAATGCAGAAACATCTTTCTGTCTCCTCCTTTTAGGTATGGCATATTCATTCATGAGATAACTCTTTTCTTTTTTTAGGACCCTATGTGCTTGGAACGGGGCTTATTTTGTATGCTCTATCCAAAGAAATATATGTGATTACCCCAGAAACCTTCTCTACCATATCAATAGTAGGGTTGCTTGTCTATGTAATTAAAAAATATGGTGCCTCTATTGGAGAATTTGCTGATAAACTCAATGAGGTAAGAAGCATAAACCTTATGTCCCATTTTTGACTGGCAGAAACATCAAAGCTGTCTTAGTGATGTATTTGATGAGTTGAGGGAATAACACGGAGATGAATCTAATTGTAATGATTACAGTTATAAGCGTTAATGTTAGTTACTAATTTGAAATAGATATTTTTAAAAATCTACCCAACCCTTCAGCCTTTCTGCAGTTTTATTCATCCAACAAGATACTACATAGCTACTATGGGCAGTTCTTAAGTATTTGTGTGTTTCTCCTTATATGTGTATGTCTCTCCATGGGTGTTTTCACAAATGAGAAATACAGCTTGCAGGAAGCATAAAATGTGTGTCTGTTACCCTTGGTGCTTTCACTGATGTTTGTTGTTGATGTCATAATTGCAGCAAAAAATTGCCCAACTGGAAGAGGTGAAGCAGGCTTCCATCAAACAATTCCAGGATGCAATTGATTTGGAAAAGGCACAGCAGGCACTGGTTCAGAAGCGCCATTACCTTTTCGATGTCCAGAGGGTAAGTTTTGGGAATTTATAAGAATGAACTTACTCATTTGTGTGCATTTTTTTTTAAATTCAGAATCTCTTATGAGGAATGATTAAGTAGATTTAACATATTTTATTTCGAAAAGAGGAGGTTTGGCCGGACTCGGTGGCTCAGTCTGTAATTCCAGCACTTTGGGAGGGGAGGCAATTGGATTGCCTGAGCCCGCGGGTTCGAGACCTGCCTGGGCAACTTAGCGAGACCTCATCTCTACAATAAATCAAAAACTAGCCAGGCGTGGTAGTGCATGCCTGTAGTTCTGGCTACTTGGAAGGCTGAGGCGGAAGGATCACCGGAGCCCAGCAGGCTGAGGCTGCAGTGATTCAGAGCTTGCCACTGCACTCCAGTCTGGGTGACGGAGTGAGACTCCAACTCCAAAAAAAAGGAGATTTGGGTGGGGGTTGGCAAGTAAGGCTATTTAGACAGTTAAATAGCAGAAAATAGAATTATTCAAAAATTAAAAACAAGTTGCTTAAAAAACATATTGTGGATATATATAAAAGGAAAGTAGTCATTAACTTATAAGTCATTAAAAATGGCATGTAAGCCAGGTGCAGTGGCTATCAAGTTTTAATCCCATTACTTTGGGAGGCTGAGGCCAGGAAATTATTGCCTGTGCCCAGGGGTTGGAGACTCTACAATTGAAAAAAAAAAAAAAGCCTGGTGTGGTGGTGCATGCCTTTGGCTTCAACTACTTGGAAGGCTGAGGCGGAAGGATCGCCTGAGCCCAGCAAGTCAAGGCTGCAGTGACTGTGAGTGCGCCACTACGCTCCAGCCTGGGTGACAGAGTGAGACTCTGACTGAGGGAGGGGGAGCTTTTAAAGTGAAATGCTCTTAGACTGGACATGTTCAAGCACCTATGAGATGACAAATAAGATGATAAGATAGAGTAAGTGTTTGAAATATGAAGGGTTTAGGCTGGTTCTCCTCAGTGTGGTCTCAGTCCTACATGTGCCAGAGGCATCTGTAGTTTAGCTTTGTGATCCCTTTCTAGGCCCTGTGGGATCAAAACTTCTGTTAGGAGCTATCCAGGAATGTATATTCTTTTATGTAGGATCTATAAAGACTCTTAACCATATGGATGTTTAAAAATCTCAGAAAAAGTTAAAGCCTCTTTCTATGCATATTTAATTTACAGCTGGAGAATGCCTGCTTCGTGCACACTGTATAGACATGGGAACACATGCACACATAAATGTTGGCTTTTTTTAAAAACAAAATTGGAAGATGTTGCTTTTTTATAAGAATCAGATGATATCATTGAGGTCTTTATTTGTAAAATATTTATTTAATAGATATTTTTGTTTTTGTTTTTTTGAGTTGGAATCTCACTCTGTCACCCAGACTGGAGTGCAGTGGCCACTCCTGGCCACCGCAGGCTCGACCTGCTGGGCTCCGGCGATCCTTCCGCCTCAGCCTTCCAAGTAGCCGGAATTACAGGCATGCACTACCACACCTGGCTGATTTTTTTGTAGAGATGAGGTCTCGCTGCCCAGGTGGGTCTCGAACCCGCGGGCCAGGCAATCCACTCACCTCAGCCCCCCAAAGGCGTGGGATTACAGGCTGTTTAATACATATTTATTGAGTTTTTCCTGTGTGGATATTCTGGCCAAGGAAGAGTGCTAAAAATAGCAGAGAAGTAGTATTAAAGAAAAAGATGGTAGGAGGAGAGAATGATCTTTTTATAGGGCAGTCACAAAAGGCCTGTGATGTGCTGGTTGAGCAGAGACCTGAAAGAACTGGTGGTGCAAGGTCTGTGGGCCTCTGGGGAGGATAGGTTCCAGGAAGAGGGAAGAAAAGTTGCAAATGCCCTAAGCCTGGAAGTGTGCTTGATATATGGGGGGGGGGGTGCCAAAAAATGGAATGTATTTATAAAAAATTGTGTATTCTTACATGTTTAAACTTCAGTCGCCTTCAAAGTACCCTCTGTTTGATGCAATACACATAATGAGATGCTTTTTCCACTGCTCAAAACAGTTTTTTGTTTTTGTTTTTCTTTTTGAGTCAGTCTCCCTCTGTTGCCCAGGCTGGAGTGCAGTGGCACACACACAGCTACCTCAGCCTCGACCTGCTGGGCCCAGGAGATCCTTCTGCCTCAAGCTTCCAAGTAGCTAGAACTACAGGCATGCGTCACCACGCCCAGCTAATATTTTTCATTTATTGTAAAGACAAGTTCTCGCCAAGTTGCCCAGGCTGGTCTCCAACCCCTAGGCTCAGGCAGTTTTCTCTCCTCCACCTCCCAAAGTGCTGGGATTACAGGCATGAGGGACCACACCCAGCTCGAAACAGTTTTTGAACTTGCCAATTTTGAAAACTTTTAGTGCTTCTGCCGTTTTTTTTGTTTGTTTATTTGTTTCACCCCTTCAGCAAAATTTTCCCTTTGAGGAACTTTTTCACCCACGGAAACAAAAAATAAGTCCCTTGGGGCAAGATCAGGTGACTAGGGAGGATGGGACAGGGGGACCATTCTGGTTTTGGTCAACAACTGGTGAACACTCAGGGCAGTGTGGGCAGGTGCGTTGTCATGGTGGAAGAACCAGTCGCCTGTTTGCCACAACTTGGGATGTTTGTTCCGCAAATCGTGATGTAATCTCAGAACTTCCAGATAAAACCTTTGGTTGACCGTTTGATCCAGAAGAACAAGTTTTGAGTGTACTACAAGGGCTCGCCCTCCAAAAGATAATTCTGGGGTTTTTTGGATCCCCCCTCGTAATATCAGAAAGCAAGGAGACCAACATGGGTAGAGTCGGATGGGTGACGGGAGAATAAAAGGAAGCAAGGGGTGGCCAGGGGCTTGAATATGTAGTCTTTCAGGCTTCTTTAAGAACTTTGACTCTGAGTAAGAGAAAGTTGTCGGAGACTTTTAAGTAGGAGTGATAGACTTGACCTACCTTTTGAAAGATCACTCTGTCTTGTTACAAATAGCCTTCAGTTTGCTATGCATTGGCTTGAGATGCCTGTGGACTAGCAGATCAGAGACATTTTAAGAGCATGGACTTAGCCTTACTGCCTCTTTACAGATCTCAGCTTCACAATTTATTGGGTCTATAATCTTGGGCAGACTTCTTCTGCCTGTTTCCTCACTGCAAAATGGGCATAATAATAGTAACTATTCTGTGGTGTGGTTATAAGATTTAGTTGAATCTAAACACATAGTAGGTGCTTGACAAGTTAGATATTATTTGACCCAGCAAGTACTTACATGTGAGCACAAAGACAGATATACAATGTAAGCAGCATTATTTGTAGTTGAAAAAATTGAAAACACCTAATTTATTAATAGAGCTTGGCTAAATGAATTACAGAACACCAAAATAGCAGAATCCAATGTAACTTTTAAAATTGAGATGGGAGCCAGGCTCGGTGGCTCAGCCTGTAATCCCGCACCTTTGGGAGGCTGAGGTGAGTGGAGAGCCTGAACCCGCGGGTTCGAGACCCGCCTGTGCAGCAAGACCTCATCTCTACAATAAATCAAAAAATCAGCTGGGCGTGGTAGCGCATGCTTGTAATTCTGGCTACTTGGAAGGCTGAGGCGGAAGGATCTCCAGAGCCCAGCAGGTCGAGACCGTGGTGGCCGGGAGCAGCCACTGCACTCCAGTCCCAGCAACAGAGTGAGACTCCAACTCAAAAAAATAAATAAATAATTGAGATGGGTTTGCATGTCATAATTAACAAAAGTGATGTGTGTACATACACAGTAAGTTCCCTACATATGAACCTTCAAGTTACAGTCATTAAAGATGCACGCCTTCAGTTTTTTTATGTATTATTTCTCTCCACCAGGTGTCAGTACAGCCTGTTATCTAGTCAATTGTGTGAATTGGGTATCTGGGCTAACTGTTAGACTTAAAACAAATTGGACGTATAAACGCACGCTTGGAACAAAACTTGTTCATTTGCTGGGAACTTCCTGTACCTATATTTTGTTTAAGTATTTTTTGGAGAGAATGGAAGAAATACAGGAAGACAGTAACCTGTGGGACTGCTGAGGGAGACTTATTTTTTACTGCATGTACTTTTAAATATATTTTTACCAAATCCTGTTACAGTTTTTTACTCTGTTATCTTTTCATGTTAAATAAAAGAATCTAATATAAAATACAAGAGAGAGGTGCAGCCTTCTGACTGGCAGGTCCTCAGAGCAGAGGTATTCCTTCAGGTATGCAAACAATATTTACCATTTCTTAATTTTGCCCCAGAATAACATTGCTATGGCTTTGGAAGTTACTTACCGGGAACGGTTGCATCGTGTATATAAAGAGGTGAAGAATCGCCTGGACTATCACATCTCTGTGCAGGATATGATGCGTCGAAAGGAGCAAGAGCACATGGTAAACTGGGTAGAGAAGCAGGTGGTGCGGAGCATCTCTGCCCAGCAGGTACGTGATGTCTCGCAGCTTCTGAAGTGGTGCTGGTATCTCTGACAAGCACCTGATGATGTTTTGTTTAGGCAGGAATACTGACAAGGCATTGCTAGCGTAGAAACAGCAGTGTTGACCCTGGTTTTTTTTTCCTGGATAGTTATAACCTAGAAAATACTACACAGCTGCCACGATAGCTTTCCTCCAAGTTTGGTTACCAAAGGGTCTCCCATACCATAGGTCACAGTGAAAAGACTGCTGAGAGCAATGGCTGTGGCTCTGTGTTCAGGTTCCGTCATTGGGTAACATTAAGCATCATGTTCACTCTGTAGAAAACAGAAACTGGACAAGGCTGTTGCTAGGTACCTTCCATTTTTTCATTCCATGATCTCCATTTCCTCTTCTCGGCTGCTTAATTCATCAGGTTTTAACAGAAATGTTTCCTATTATTTGCTTAGACTGAATTACTTTTTTTTCCCATTTATATTATTTCGTTATTTACTTATCACTTGATATTTTTTCTTTTCTAGCTGTATAGCATATTTAGGCATTTCTGGCCATTTTCTGCATAACCTATGTAACCTATGTAGAATTAAAAAAATAGAATCTATCAAAATTTGATGGATTTTTTAAAAATTGTCTTAAATAAGTGTAATATATACACTTATTTAAGAAGCTTAGAAAATACAAACGAAGTATAGAAAAGATACTAAAAGTTACATTCATTCTTAACATTTCTATTACTAATGTCTTTCTCAAGCATCTGTCAGCTGTACAAGTAAACATCAGTGGCATATGGTTACAGGAGCATCTAGCCTCAAATTCAGTACAGGTTTCACTCAGTAACCCCCTGGATTTGCTTAAACATAAATTGTATCTCCTCTTAAATAAATAATTTTAGGCCAGGCATGGTCGCTCATGCCTGTAATCTCAGCACTTTGGAAGGCCGATGCAGGAAGATCAGTTAAGGTCGGAAGTTTAAGAACAGCATGGGCAACATAGCAAGACCTCGTCTCTACAAAAAATTTTAAAAAGTTAATTGGGCATGGTGGTATGTGCCTGTAGTCTCAGCTACTTTAGAGGCTATCTCTATGAAAAAAAATTAATTTCTAAACCTATCTAGAAGTTTTATCACATTGAACCAGTCATTGTCTTAAGGTTCTGGTCTGGTGGGTGGTGTCCTTTAGAATTATGATGTTTATACCCTTCCGTGTTTCGGAAAGGCCTCACCAGATTTCTCTTTCCTTTTCCTCACAGGAAAAGGAGACAATTGCCAAGTGCATCGCAGACCTAAAGCTGCTTGCAAAGAAGGCTCAAGTGCAGCCAGTTCTGTAAATGTGTCTGTCCCATTGAGACAGCTAGAAACAGTTGACTGACTAAATGGAAACTAGTCTATGTGACAGAATATTCTGTAGTGCTGTCTACTGCAGTTACAGTTTACCTTTCCTAAAAATGAAAAGTTGGAGTTTTCTATAATGAGCGAACTAAATCTATTGGCCCAGTCGGGTGTTTCTCATCCTTCTTACTCTGCATTTTGAGTTGTTCCATGATCACTTTCAAATAAGCAGTTTGCTTTTATTAAAACTTGCTGCCTGACTAAAGATTGCCAAGTTATCGTGTAAATTTGTAATTAATTCCACCATCTTGCATCTTGCAATAAAGTGACAATTCAAACAAGGTTTTCAAGTTGTGTAATTTTCTGTGTTGTTCAACTTTTGTCACATGGGTAAAATTTAAAAGTGTTAACTGAACTATCTTGTTGATAAGACAATTCAGTGGTGAGTTCTTTCTGGCTAACTAATAGGTCATAAGAAATGTAAAAGTTTTTTAATACTCTTAAAATAACTAAAAGAAATACTGACTTTATCATTTTAGTAGTATGCCTGTGGAAAATAATATGAACTCGGTGTTGTAAAATCACTCAACCCTGTCTCAAAAAAAAAAAATGTACTGCAAAAAAATTACCAAATAGGCAACCTACAGAATGGGAAAGATATTTGCACACTATATATCTGACAAAGGACTAATATCCAGAATCTACAAAGAATTCAAATCAGCAAGAAAAAAGCAAATGACTCCATTAAAATGTGGGCAAATGACATGAACAGACATCTCTCCAAAGAAGATATACAAATGGCCAAGAAACGTGAAAAAATATTCAATGTCACCAATCATCAAAGAAATGCAAATTAAAACTACAATGAGATGCCATCTTACATCAGTCAGAGTGGCCACTATTTAAAAAAAATCAAAAAATAATAGATGCTGGTGTGGATGCAGTGAAAATTAGTACAATCTCTATTGAAATTGGTATGGAGATTTCTTAACTAAAAGTAGATCTACCATTTGATCCAGCAATTTCACTGCTAGGCTCTACCCAAAAGAACAGAAGTCTATATAATAAAGACACCTGCACTCAAATGTTCATTGCAGTGTGATTCACAATTGTTTCCCTGGATGAAAAAGTCCTCAAAGGGAAATGTTTTGCCGAAGAAGTGAAAAAATGGCAGAAGCACTTAAGGCATCAAAACTGACAAATTCAAAAACTTTTAAGTTGGTCATGGTGGCTCATACCTCTAATGCCAGCACTTAGAGATGCCAAGGCAAGAGGATTGCTTGAGCCCAGAAGTTCAAGATCAGCAGGGGCAACATGGCATGAGACCTCATCTCTACAGTAAATCAAATAATTAGCCAAGTATGGTGGTGGGCTCTTGTCCTAGCTATTTGGAAGGCCGAGACAGAAGGATTGCCTGAGCCCAGCTGTTGAAGTGTGGTAACTGATCATGCCACTCCAGCCTGGACAACAGAGTGAGACTCTGACTCAAAAAAAAAAAAAAAAAAAAGATTACCATTTGATCCGGTAATACCACTACTAGATATCTACCCAAAGAAACAGAGGTCATTTTACCAAAAGAGATAATCTGACTTGCATGTTTATCGCAGCACAATTCACAATTGCAAAGCTGTGGAATCAACCTAAATGCCCATCAGTTGATCAGTGGATAATGAAAATGTGATGTATACACACACACACACACATACTGTGGAATACTATTTAGCCATCAAAAAGAATGAAATAATGTCTTCTGCAGAAATTTGGATGGAACTGGAGAACATCGTCCTAAGTGAACTAATGCAGACCCCACATGTTCTCACTGATAAGTGGAAGTCAAACATCTGCAAAGGCATTGAGAATGGTGTAATGGACATTGGAGACTCAGAAGGAAGAGGGTGGGAACAGGTAGAGGGATGAAAAATCACTTGTTGGGTACAATGTGCACAGGTGGAGATGGTGAATACACTTAAAGCCCAGACTTCCTTGCCACTGTACAGTGCATCCATACAACCAAAAACTATTTGTACCCCCTAAAGCTATTGAAATAAAAAAAAGGAAACATGACAGATCAGAAGATAAATGGTGTCTGAGCTGGACAGAAGAGGAAGTTAGCCAAAAGAATGTCTGAGGAATTCGAGCCCAGGAAGATGGGGCAGCATTTGCGATTGTAGAGAAGATGTCAGAGAGTGATGTTTTAAAAACTCAGGATATTTAAGAGTGAAACATAAGTATTAAGAAATCATATTAACAGTTTTAAATGCAGTGCTTGAAAGTTGGATTTTGTTCTGAGGACAGAGGGCAGCCCCCAGAATGTCTTAAGCAGAAGAATAATGACTAGATCTTTGTTTCAGAAAAATTGGTAGCAGCGATACAAAGAATGGTTTGGAAAGGCAAGACTAGTTAGGCTGTTGAATCACTCCAGCTAAACGGCATTGAAGGTCTTAACCAAAGGCCTTGGCAGTACAGATAGAAAGAACGGAACTGATGAGAGATTCCAAAGGTAACATTAGGAGGACTTGACTGGGGAGAAGATGGAAGGAGGGAAGAATAAAGTCAAATCAGGCTTGAGGAAGTAGAAAAGTGAGGTGCTATTCACTGAACTGTAATACAGGAGGAACTGTGTTTCAGGAAAGAATAGGGATAGGTATGGAATCGTGAGAGAGCAACACTGAAGAATGGCAGAGAAAAAGGATTCAGCCAAAGAGGAAGTGGTCAGTCATTGGAGGAAAACCTGGAGAGAGTAGTGTCATAAAATTGAGAGAGTAAAGAGTACAGGAAGACTCAACAGCAACCACTTTTTCAGGAAGGTTAAGGGATCCTGAAAAGTGCCTATTAGAGTTAACAGCTTAGAGGTCTTTCGTGCCCTTCAAGTCATTTTGGCTGAATGATAGGGACAGAAAGATTACAGTGGGGCTTAAAGGATTGAAAGGCAATGAGGAAACAGACTTCTGTAGAATAATTTCTAGAACACTACTCACTTTAGTAACTAGAGGGAGCCAAAGGTTCGCTCGAATGTTTTAAGAAGAGTGCGGCTTAAATGAAGAAAATAGAAGAAAAAAGAGGAGGAAAACATAACAGCAAAGGAAGATAGATGTGGTAAAATCCCTAGGTGGGAGAACGACGTTCAGATGACAGCGGGATTCGTGTTAAACAGACGCGTTCAAACATCTTCCATTGAAACTAGAAAGGTAAGGATGCAGCGGGAAAGATATTCACTGCGGGGACAGGAAGCTCATTCAGCAATCATTTATTTTGTTTTATAAAGGTGATGTCAGGCACTGTTAGAAGCTAGGATAAGCAAATACGGTGTCTCCACAGAGCTTGCAGTCTAGCAACTTAGACATGTAACTTCGTGTACATGTTCCTTAGTGTAACTGGTCCTAATGTTAAGATTAGGGTGATAGGTTCGAGTGTAAGTACACTTAATCTGGAGACTTTCATAGGAGACTATGAAAGGCCTTCTGGAACAAATTTCATTTAAGTGGATTTAAAGTGATACCTGGTCACTAAAAAGATCATCAAATAGGGAACAGCTTGTGTACAGCCCCTGAGGTGGAAAGGAGCCTGAAAAACAACCCTAGGATGACTGGAGCACAGGAGGTCATGCTGGAGAGGTAGATCATCCATATGAGGCTCATTTATGGTATTTGGGGCCATATTAGAGAATGTTATGTTCTTTAAGAGAATAGAAAGTGTTGGGCTTGGCTTTCCAGCACTTTGGGGAGCCGAGGCAAATGGTTCTAGACCAACCCGGGCAACCTGGCAAGACCTCATCTCTTGACATAAAAAGAAAAAAAAAGAATAGCCCATTTAAAGAAAAAACTTTAAGCAGAGTAAAATACGGATAATGTATTAAAAGACCAATCAGGCCTGGTGTGGTGGTTCACGCCTGTAATCCCAGCACTTTGGAAAGTCTAGGCAAGAGGATCACTTGGAGTTTGAGACCAGTCTGGGCAACATAGTGAGACCTCGTCTCTACCAAAAAAAAAAAAAAAAAGAAAGAAACTTGGCTTGTCCTGATGTCACATACCTGTAGTCCCAGCTGAGGACTAAGGCAGAAGGATCACGTGAGCCTTAGGAGGTCAAGGTTGCGGTGAACCGTGATCATGCCACTACACTCCAGCCTGGAAGACAGAGTGAGACCCAGACCCAGACTCGGATGGACGGATGAGCTGTCAGCAAAGCTTTCCTCTCTAGAGCCCTACAGTAATAGTTTAGACTCTGAGGGTCATACAGTCTTCCTCCACATAATCATTTTTTACATTTTGTCGAACTTTCTTTTTACTATTCTTTGACCCCGGTAAAACAGTAAAAGACAGCAAGAGTAGGTGGCAGGGGCGTTTAGAGAGAAGCTGATAGTCACTTGGGAAAGGATGGTCACAATGAAAGATGAAACTTGACATAAAATTGTCGAGTTTGACTTGACAAGTCTCACTGTTAGATAGGAGAGCAGGGTGTGAGACAGGAAAGCATGGAAATTGTCTCCTGAGGTCCTAGTCAGTGGTGGACTGGTGATTACAACAGAGAACAGATAAGAAGCAGGTTTCAAGAGAGACGCTCCTGCATTCAATTTCATTATTGATTACAAATGGACGATATTAGATGGCGTTGTGGCAACATGCAGCAAATGAGCTTAGGCTCCGGTCGAAGTTATGGCTGGAAACAAATTAGAGTATCAGTCGCATATAGATAGTAGTAAGCTAGGTCAGGAAGGGAGGAAGTAACATCGGAAAATAGCCCCAAGTGGGATGAGAAGGCTGTCTCGGACATTTTAGTTGGAGGAGACCAAGCAGGCTAAGGAGACGGATGAGGAAGGACCAGGAGGTGAGACAATACAGGGAGCGTGGTGCCTCCGCGACAGAGCAAAGTCCTGAGTCAGGGCCTGGCAGGTCAGGTGAGAGAACCATTTGACCCCACGGTGGAAGGTCGCCGTCGCTCTTACTGGGGGCATTTTGTAGGAGCGGAGGGGTGCGGGATCCAGATTGTTGTGGCTGAGCAGAAGTAAAGAAATGAAAAGTTAATTCTTTCCAGAAGTCTGGCTATAAAAAGAGGAGGACAAAATTAAGGTGTTGAGCGAGCAGGGTTTCTAGCAGGCAGAACTTCAGGCTGCAGCCCCACGTCTCTACCTCCAAAATATCAGAAATTCGTGTTGAAATGGTTGATAAGATTTAGTCCTTACAAACTGGCTGCATAGTAATCGGCTGTGCAATCTCCAAATCGGAGTATCACAGTTATTTTTATTATGATTTCTTTTTAGAGACAGGGTCTGGCTCGAGTGCGGTGGTGTGATCCTAGCTCACCACAGCCTCCACCTCATAGGCTCAAGCGAGCCTCCCTCCTCAG